TTCGCCAGGCCACTTTGATGTTCGATTTGGGTGGTTTTTTTCGTCAGTCGTTTTTTCGGCCTCTGTGTTCAGGCCCTATGAATTGGTGGTCAATATAAATTTCCTTAAATGACAAATATTTCATTGTTTGCTCTGATCAAGATAAAGTGAATGAAAACAAAACCAAAAAAAAATATAACAACACCGTTTAAGCAAACACCAATTTTTGTTGTTGTCGTTGTTGTCTCTTCACATTTCACATTTCGGTTGAATCATCATCAATGATTGCATCTTGCAATCGTCTCCTATCAAATAAATCAACGCTTCAGATTAATAAGCAATTTTCGATTGAAAACACCGTTTTAAAATTCAATTCAATATTTAGTTAGTTGATAACGATTTTTTTTATTTTATCATTGAGAAACAACAAAGTTTCACTTTCGGATCCTTAAAATGTTTTATGGTGTTGATTTCTGTCGAATTAGTGTATTGAACGGTTGTTGTTGTCACTTCTTCTTCTCTTTTAAATGCTATGCCATTCGAAACTGATTATCGACTTCAAAAACGAGCCATCGTACGAACTAACGATTGAAAACCAGCGAGTAAGCAACGAAGAATCTATTCACTTTACTTTTCAGGAATTTATTCTCCAAAGTGTTTGTAAAAATGATGTGTTTTTTTTTCTTCTCTTGTACGGTTCTGTACATATGTGAGCTTTAAACGCCTCTACCACTAACAAGTCTTTATGCCGCGTTTGATATCTCCTTCTGCCTGATTCTCTCTTTCACATACAACCAATTTTTTTTTTCGTTGTTTCTTCTTTTTCGATTTTCTTCTCGCTCCACGATAAAATACTCCATCGTTGGCTACTAGCTTCGATCGCTACATACATATATAAGCAACGTACCTAATGTGCGAGCATATATGAGAGGAGAGAGATATATACGTGTCTGCACGGCCATTTTATAGCGTTAAGCTGTTTAATATCATCTTATTATTCTCAACACTTTTCTTTTTATTCGTGTTCATTTTCTGTTTTCTCAAGCCTCCTTTGGCGTTATTATTATATGTGTTGTGTTTGTATGGATTTTTTTTTTGTCTTCCACTCTTTCGTTCGTCCGCTTATTCGTGGGCTTTTGTTGGTTGCTGATGCTGCTGCTGCTATCAGCGGCCCCAAAACAATGGCAATCGTTGAAAACAGATACAAAAAACGAACAAACTTCAGAAAAAGATGAGAGAAAAAGCGAGAGAAAAAAAGACAAGAGAAACATACGGCCACGATGTGAGCGCTCAATGCTTAAACGGCGAGTAGTTTATTTTATCAGGATTTTTTCCCTTCTTTATTTTATTTCATATATATTATTAACAACAAATTCGGTCGTGGTTAAAACATTCGAAATCAACATCAATTTAAATGAAATAAATACTACGTTGGACACATTTTTAACGGGCGACTTGTTGCTACCCGAAAGAAGAAAAAAAAAAGCCACAGTTTTCAGTTTGGATGTTTAGATGCACGAAGAATTTCTTTTTTCTTTGGTTCTTCCCATGAAATATTGGAGGTAGAGGAGAAACAAATGGAATCTTCTGGAAATTGAACGAAATTTTGCGAAATCGTATCGAAAATTTTGCATTCATCGTTCGGAACGAACACCATTTTTCGACAGTAAATGTGTTTTCGAAGTGCTGAGAGGCATCATATAACTTCCGATAAATAAAAAAACACTCGCACACATCAAATGCAACTCGTTACATGCTCATTTTGCTCTCATAAAATCCAACCAGTTTCACATTATTAAATATCGCGCCATTTGCGCTCTTTGTCTGAAATTCAGCGGAAAATATGTTTTAAATGTTGCATTGAAAGAATGGGGCAGAACAGAAAAAAAAACACACACACAGAACGAAACGAATTTCACTATGCGCGTGCGCGCAGGTTCTCTCATTTTGCCCCTGTGTGTATATGTGATCGATATGTATCGATGGTATACAAATGATCATCATCGAAATGAATGAAATGAGAAGAAAACGTTTTACCGAAGAAACCATCACATATTTCACTTTACGATTTCGTTGTTGTATGGGTTTTTTCTTCTTCTCTTTCTTCGACGATATAAAACTGCCGCAAACAACATGTGGTAACAAAATTAAAGATTCACACAAATTGTCTAGCAGAATATATATAAAAGACGAAACCGATTGGTTGAGAGAGCAAGAGAGAGAGAGAGAGAGAGTAAAAAAAATGTTAATGCGTAGAAGAAACCATGCAAGAGATCAAACTAATGAGAAATGCAATCAAGGCAATTTGGTAGTTTAGAAAATCGGAGTGAATTTTTACACAGAAACAAAAAAAAGAACAGTTCGGGAGACAGAGAACAACGGCAGTAACAACAATACCAGAAAAATGAAGAAAACGCCATTGCCAGAACAAAATAATCGTCCATTTAATGAATCGAACGTTTCGAATGAAACAACTTTAGGAAATCGCCGGCAATCAACGAAATTTTCATTGAAAATTATTGTGAAGGTTCATACGATGTCCATTATACATTGTATAGATCGGATGCCGTTTGCTGCACAATTCATGCGTCTGTTGCAATTTTGTATTGTTTGTGTGCGCGCGCTGCGCTATCCGTAGAAAGTCCGATTTTCTGTTGTTGCCGTTGCTGCTGTGTTTGTGTGCTTTTTTATTCTTCTTCGTTCATCAACTTTGATTTTTTCCGCCTAATTGAATGTACATAGCTAGACTCGTTATACATTTGATTCAGCTTTTGGGTTTTCAACACACACACACAATGGCCATAAGCCTTGGACTTGAGTCAAATTTATACCATTTGTTTTGACTTGTTTGTAAAAACATTGGCTGGGTAATTTGGGTCTTGCACAAGCTGGCACTGCGCAAACAATGAAAATATTAAAACCAAACAAAATCCTATTCAGACCTCTACACAGAGCCGATATATATATGGAGGAGAGAAAGAAAGATCCTGAATGGGACCGACACATCCCGAATGAAAAAAAAAGCTAAACGCCTGAAATTGTGAAAAGTTGAAAAGTCATAGAGAGTGAGAAGCACACTACACACACAACACCGAACCCGAACTGAACGCATCGTTGGACAAAAAAGCAATTTGAGTTGTTGCTGTTATTCCTTTTTGTTGCATGCACACTTTTGCCATTTATCTATTTAGACTTGAATAGACATGGAGAGCATATCGACAGATAATGCGTATCGGCATCGCCCGCATGCAAAAACATAAAAATGGCAGGCAAACATAACAAAAAAAAACAAGACTAGAAGAATGAAGAACATTTAAGAATTTGTCCATGAGAGCTACCGGATGAACGCATTGCCAACGATCACAGCCAATCGATCCTTTGTTCTGCGCATTTTCCATCCCATTGTTCCATTTAATTCTTTATGAATATGAAAAAAATAAAATTGGAAACGAAACAGACCCACAGCATGCACACAATTAATTTGCTCTATGGATTTTCACTCAAAAATCCGGCATGAATTACCAAAACCGATTTCGACATCGACTTTCAAACAAACTGACCGAAATCTTACAAAATCATACACAAACAAGATAAAGAGATGCACGCTTGATTGGTCTTTGAGAGAAATTTCAAACAACGGCTCTGAGACGCACACTCACACACAAACTCGTACACTTACATATCATTCAAATCGTACAATAAAATGAAAATCAATCAGCGGCATAGTCATTTCTTCGTGTGTGTGCAAACATTTAAAATGACTTTGAAATGTGGCGACAATATGAGTAGCTAGCTGCATTTTCGCAGCACAAAGAACAACAACAGCAACAACGAAATTGCACCGGAGAGTTAATTTTCCGGGCCGTCTATTTGAAAAAGAAAAAAAGCGGAATGCTATGCAATTTTCCGAGAAATGTCAGTTAGCTGCAGCTCGAAATCGTATTAAGCGTTTGTCACGGCCATTCGGCGACAAAACAATCAAATATGCAACGCTCACTAAATATTTAACATTAATTTCCATGGTACATAAAAAAAGAATTCTATTTGTGTTTTGTTGCGAATAGAATATAGGAAAATGTGCATTTTTCCTCTTCTCTATGTTGCCCGTCGTTTCTCCGGTGTGTATGCATACACCGAAGATATTGTTGAAGTGTGTATCGAATGGGCAAATGTCAAAGAAATAATAAATATGAGCCCGAAATGTCCAAGGTTAATAGCTCATTGTGCCTCGGCAATTTTTCTTCTTCTTTATTTTTATACATTTAAAAAAAAAATATATATATATATATAGATTTCAAATGCGATACGCAACGGTGTAAGGAGTTAGTTTCTCCTAGTTGTGTTTTCCTTTTTCAAATTGAAATTGTTGCTGAAGTTGACATAGTTTTTGCGCCATCCTTCATTGTGTAGTCTTCTCTTCGTGTTTTGTTTTGTGTGTTGTTCGCCTCAATTGATGGACAACACTTCACACAAAAACGATATATTTCGAAAGGCAAACAATGACCATTTTTCCTCAGTTTTCTCTTTCTCTCGCTCTCTCGCTTTGCCTCAAACTTGGACAGCATCAGTAAACATAAAAATCAATCGTAATGAATATTTCTCTTTCTTGTTTCACCGGTAAGATAACACACACACACACACACAAGAGTTCATAAAGAAAAATCCTTCCTAAAACAGCATGGGTTTCGGCTGTGTATATTCTCTCTTCTGTGTTCGGTATGTTGTTTTGCCTTTTGTGCACAGAGAAAAAAAATCAAGAAGAAACAAAAAAAAAGATGCCGAAATGGAAGTGAATGAAACAAATAGCCACAATGCCAATGAAGAACGCATTGACACAAACAATACGCACACGAAAAAATATAAAATAAACTAACGATAGAAAATAACTTTTGAAAAATATTTCAATGGTAATCGATTTTATTCTTTTTTTATTGATTTTCTCCGTTTGTTGTTTTCTTTTCTTTTTTTTCTCTCTCTCTATCTCTCTCGGTGTTTCTTTTGTCGCTGCTTCAATTACACAGAGATGCAAGGAAAAATTAGACACGTTAGCAATATCCGTAATGAATCAGTGGCCCGGTGTACGACTGCGTGTCATTGAAGGATGGGACGAGGATGATGCACATGGCTTTGAGTCATTGCATTACGAAGGCCGAGCGGTTGATGTTACGACATCCGATCGCGATCGAAGCAAAAATGGAATGCTAGCACGTTTGGCCGTCGAAGCTGGATTCGACTGGGTGTATTACGAAAGCCGAGCGCATGTTCATTGCTCCGTTAAATCAGGTAAATTCACTTCAAAACATATTTCTGTAGGTTTTTTTTTTACTCTTTTCTTACATTCATAATATTGAATATTTTGTTCGTCGTACATCTCGAATGATAGAGCAAATGAATCGGATCGAAGCCACGTATAATGCCGAAAGACAGAAAAAAAATACAATCAGTACGTAAAGATAGAATTAAATGTGAGGAAAAAAGGGAGCGCACCATACACAAAAATGAAAATAAAAAGAGAAACAGAACTAGTTTTGATAGCCAATGAAGAAGTCCAATTCACACCAGTTTCATGTTTCCACTTCTTGCTATCAATTTTCACACACAAATGAGAGAGAAAATAAGCGATATGCAATGCACACGATGACGACGACGACGACCAAACAATGTATTTGCTTCTTGTTTGAATGTCGGTTAAATCGCGTGAGTGTGGCAACAAATGGACGACGGGATACCGATCTTCACCGGATTTTTGTTGTAAGGCATCTCTTGGTCGCCACAAAATCCAAGCATCCGCCATTTCCGACCCTCGCACCAAACATTTCACACAGCAACACTTAGCCGATCATGGTAAAATTACATTAACTTGAACAAAGTGGTACTTTTGTTGCGTTTTATTTCATTTTCTCAGCCATCCATCCATTTTCGATGGCATTTCAATATTTTTTCCATTTTATGAGAAAATGCACACATCTTTTGTGTGTGTGTGTGTGTGTGTGTATGCATGTATTCGGCTAACGAAACGGACACACATTATTTTCGTAATGAGATTGCAATTTTTCGTTGTTGTTGCTCTGTTTCGTGGTCTCTTCGTATTCAAAGTCAATTTATTCATTATCCTTTGCCTGTGGACAATTGCATGCAATCTTTTTTTTTGCGTTGAAAGCGTTTCGTCTTTGCTCGTCACCCTTTGCATAGATACGGACGTTTTTGTGCGAGAATGGTCGGCATTTCATGCATGAACAGAACATCCGAACCATAAGCTGAATGAATAAATCAGTTGTTGTTGCTTATTGATTGTTGGATTATCTATTCAGTTTAATTTTGTTGAATTGGATTTTCCACTTGACTGGTACTTTGCATTCAAAAGCCCATTCTTTTCTGCTGCTGCTAGTGTTTCTGTTGTTGGTGTTTTGACTGGTGTAAAACAGCGCGAGAAATCCGAATTAATAATATTGATACAAATCGGTGAGTGTGACAGTGTGCCCTGGGTATATGTGTGTGTATTTGTGGTGTTTGAAAAATGCATGCGGCGATTAATGTGACATTGAGATTAAAGCGTGTTGACCGACCCATGTCAATACGGCTAACAACACAACAACCTGCTGTTGGCCCGGGTATATATATCAGAGAGACCACAAAATACGTCGTTAAAAAGTGATCGGTGGGATCATTAGAGGGATAGCGAGGTAGGTGGGAAAGAGAGAGAGAGAGAAACGTGTTTTACTAAGTGGCTAGACAATTAAATGCATATCTATAATAAAACGATAATTTGTTATATTTGATCTCTGAAAAATCTATTTATGAGCCATGTTCGGTGGCTCAAATAGTACACATGCACACATACTAAACACACCGTCGTCCCGTGCCAGTCAGTCAGCCGGCCAGCCAGCTACATATACTAGCTGTATGATGTTGTGTTGTGTTCCTTGTTGGTGTTGATCGCTTTTAAATGCTCGCGCCACACACAATCACTCCAGCATTTCAGTTGGAATGATAGGAGCCAAGGCGCGCGCGCGCATGCAACAGTTTAAAATTAATTTTCATGACATAATGGTAGTCAATTTAACTCATCGACAGTGGTTGAATATAATGCGCACACATTTGTTGTTCGTTCGTTCGTTCATTCTTTCCTGTGTTCCCTCTCTCTCTCTCTCTCTGTGTGTGTGTGTGTTTTTTTTTTTCCTCTCTACCGGCAACAAAATTTATTGTGAGATAAATATCTTGAGATCTTCTACTTCTCCTTCTGCTATTTAACGAACCGATTTTGGTTTCCCGTTCGTTTCATTTGTTTCGCTGTGTTTGGTTACAAAATTCGTTTGGATTTTCATCGGAAGATGAACACGATGAACGTTTATCACGTAGAGGCACATAAATGTAAAACCTCATTTTCATTTCTTCAGAAAGTTCAGAGTTAAAACGCCAATGGCTTGCGGTCGAAAAAGATCGACGAATGAAACGAAACAGAGAAAGAGAATGTATGCACGTATAAAAATGAACACGAGTGATATGTGAGAGAGTAAGCGAAAAATAAAATAAAATGCGAAAGAATGGTTTGTTACCAAATGAGTAGAGAGTTCGAGAGTAGAGAAGTATACATATATATATAACAAAAGCGTAGAGAGCGTGAACACCAACGGTTGAAGGAAATGTTTTGACTTCTAAATAGGAGAGAAGAGAGGAAAACCAAATAGCATTCATGTTGAATGCTGAACAATGGTAGTGTTGCGGTGAAGATTCACGGTGCGCCCGTCTTTTGTTGTTGTTGATTTGTTGAAAAAGATTGTGTATGCGCCGGACATAGTTTTTCACCAACAACAATAAAACCAAAATATGTAGTATACTTTATAAATTTTGTTCAAACAAGGCACACAGTGGTTGGTTTTCATTTTTATTTTTATTTATCTCGTCATTTTCTGGTTTTTTTCTGTTCTTCCGTTCTTTCGTGTGTGCGTTTGCGAGAGAGCTTTGGAGTCGATTCAATTTTTCTTTCTTTCGGTGACTTTGTACGCGCGCACATCAATGTAGGTCGAAATGAAATCTCATCGAAGGAGAAAAAAAAATCTCACACGAAATCTGAGTGAATGAGACACACATAGTCTGATATCATAAATAAATTGGCCTGATAATGTTTTCTTTCTTTCTTTTCTCTCGTTCGTTCTTTCACCCGAAAATGTTGTCTTTTTCGCCCGAAAACTTGTCTCTTTCCTTCGAAAATGTCTGTCAGTCTGCAGAAAAAGGCAGGCCGTTTATGGACGGCTGTTGTTCGACCGCATATGCTCCCTATCCATAAATGTGTTAACAAAATATCAGTGATACACTCTCTGAAGTAGTGCATGTTATTATTATCATAGACATGCGCGCTGTGAGAAATACAACAAAACCAAATCGTACACCTCCTTTTGACCATCACTGCTGGTTCGATATTTAAGCGAAGATTTATGTCGTGTTGAGATCGATCGAGGGAGAAAGGGAGAGAGAGAGAGAGAGGCCATATCTATTCCGATAAAACCGACCGAAAAAAAATGCGCATACCTTTTGGCCTTCATCACTCATTTCGGAAGGTGAATATGAAAGTAAGACAAAACGGACAGGAAAAAGCCTATTACGTTGTGTGATAAATTCCGAATGCGTTTGCGGTGTGCAATGAATGTGATGTTGCTCTTTGTATTCTCTCGCACTCTCGCTCGATCTCTCTCTCTCTCTCTCTCTCTCTCTCTCTCTCTCTCTCTCTTTTAGATTTAGAATCGATTTTCTTCTGTCGCTTTTTCGTTGGTGGATTCGCGTTTGTGTCTGAGCGTTGGCCCATCGAAACGGCAAATACATGGTCATGGTCTCTTATTTATTATTTATTTTATTCGCCAAAGTCAAAAGCATTAAAATAATATGGCATATCTTCTAAAGTGTGGCAACACAGAACAGTATTCACTCCTCAGAGGTGAGATAAAAAGAACACCGATGGGGTATCTGTGCGTGCGCTGTGTTGCTGACTTTTGTTGTTGCTCTTTTTTCGGCTGCGCTTCGTGAAGCTGCTGAAGTTGCTCTCAGTGTTTTGTGCATTGTGTATGTACCTGTCCTTTTTTTCGGCATGTATAGTAAACGTTCAATCAGACAGAGATCACACAAAGCAAAGTTGAAGATAGAGAGAGGAAAATAGAACGAACATAAATGCACATGCATAATACGATGCCTATTCACAAATACAATACGAATGAGTGCGCCTGTCGCTTACACTTAATGAAAAAGACAGAAAAAAATGAGGAAGAAGAAGAAGAAGAAAATGCTTACCACCAAACCAGTTTTTCGCATAGCATAGTCCCGATCTCCTCTCGCTGTGTGTGCCCATATCGGTGATCTCTCGAATTTGTACACGCTTCCATACAAAAGAAGCATACATGGAAACAACAACAACAACAACAAAAAACACACCAAATCTTTACGCCGCTGGATGATTTTTGGGTGAACAAATTTACCGCAACAAATCTATAGGCGTGAAAATATTGAAATTTTTCGCATTCTGCCTAGATTCACTTTTTGTTCTCTCCCACACCTCTCTCTCTCTCTCTCTCTCTCTCTCTCTCTCTCTCCCTCTCCATCTTTTCCACACATATATCCTGTTTCAAATTAATTTTCGGCGAAATGTTTTGTTTGTGCGTCACCCACAGCAAATGAACAACAATATATATTTAAAAAAAAGAAGAAGAGACATGAAGCAAATCATTTGAATGAAACCGACGTTTTCTGGTCAGTGAGTCAAGAAAAAAAAATAACAACACAAAACCGACATTTTGGTCAGTCCTGTTGTGAGAGAGACACAGGCTCATTTCTATTGAAATGCGCTAAAGATTTTTCATTAAACACAAACCAACCAACAAAAGAAAAAAAACCGAGTATCGAGTCATAGCATCAGTTAAGCCGAACATTTGCCAAGAAAAAGGTTTACATATGATCTTTGGTTACGTGATGCTGTACCATCGAAAATATTTACATTGATTTCGTGTGTTTGGGTCTGTCAGCATCAGCAAAAGCAGTGGTGGCAACGACGACAGCACCAACAGCAGCAGCGGTGGTGGCGGTTACCTTCTTGCTTGTATGCAACAGAGAGTGTTGAGATTTGCGTATACGACACCGCTCCGTATTGAGCACATTTCAAAATGCAATGTATTTTATCGCCTGTTTCTCTCATCTCGTCTTTTTTTTATCCACATACAGATATATATTCCTTCATCTTTTATTTTCGGCTGTTGTTGTTGTTGTTGTTGTTGTTTTTTTTTTAATTTTGGGAATCACATTGGGTGTCGTATCATTAATAAGTTTAATTTGACATACACAACCAAAACATGTCAAAACATGCTGGTTTCCTCTTGTCTCTCTTTTTTCTTGTTCATTCTTCATTTGTTCTTCCTTTTCGTGTGTCTTTCTTCTTAGGCTGTGCGCTACAGTGCGGTGCTGTTCGCTTTGCTGCTCTGAACTATGCGCTTTGTGAACTGAGCTACGCGCTTTTGCGCTTTTGTTGTGTTGCATTGTGTTCGGGAAAGAGAACGAGACAGGGAGAGAGGGAGAGAGGGATATATCTGAAGAGAGTCCTGTGAATGGTTATATGGTGTGTATGTTTTCAATTGAATGTCGCTTTTGTATGCATTAGCGTAAATCTTGTTATAAATGCGCCTTGGCCACAGAGAGAAAATATTTGTGGTTATCTATATTGTTGGATGGTATAAATTACATATTTATGTAAATCGATATGTATGATTTCTCATATTACCGAGAGATAAAGAGAGAGAGAGAGAGAGAGAGAGAGCGACCGAAAAGGTAACACAGAGCGTAACAACGTAACAACACACAGAGAGAAATGAGAAGTTGGAAAAAAGTAACACGAACAATGACGACAACATACAATGAGGAGAAGAGAGAGAGAGAGAGAGAGAGAGAGAGAGAAATGCGATGAATTGGAATGTGCATGGTATATATATTGAAAAATTCGGTTCGAGTAGCATGCGTTTTTAAACTACAGTTTTGATTAATGACGGTGTTGTGCGCTGCTCATTCGTTCTGTACGCTTTATTTTCGCTCTCTTCTCTCTTTCTCTCTCTCCATTTCGATTACACAATGGCTCAATGTCATCACGTTTATTTTTTCTCTTCTTTCCTTTTCTCTACGTACATTTGTTGATTTTTTTTTCTCGTTTCGATTTTTTTAATAATACTTAACTTTCTTCCGAGATTCATTCACGCGAAAACTGTTTGTGTTTCCAGTTTATTAAAGTCATGTTTATATTACAGCAGTTTAAGTTAGTTCTTTTTTTTTATTATCAAAATGCTTTATCTCATTGTGCTCATTTCGTTCTTTTTTTCTCTTGTTTCGCTTGATTTCACCAGATTCATCACAAGCCGCACATCAAACGGGATGCTTTACTGGTGACAGTACCGCAAAATTGGTCACGGGTGAAACGCGCCTGCTCAGCGAACTTCGTATCGGTGACCAAGTACTGAGCATGGACGCCGATGGTCAGCTGAAATACAGTGAAGTGTACATGTTCTTGGATCGTGATGCGAAACAAAAACGTGAATTCATTCGAATCGAAACGGAAGATGGTTCGGCCATAACAGCAACACCAAGCCATTTAATTTACACATGGCAGAGCAGCGACAACAGTGTTACGACCGTTAGCAGTGTAGCCGATTTTCAATTTGCCGAACGCATACAAATCGATGATTTTGTGCTAACCAATGTAAATGGAACGTTGGAACCGCGACGCGTCAAAAAAATCACCGTCGAATTGCATCGAGGCGTTTATGCGCCGCTCACCTACGACGGCACGATAGTTGTCAATTCAATAGCAGCATCTTGTTATGCTCTAGTCGAAAAACATTCAATCGCTCACATCAGTTTCGTACCGATGCGAACGCTGCACCGAATAGAAGAATTGCTTGGCGTTGCCAATGGCATTAATGCCAATTTACCACGCGGCATTCATTGGTATGCACGAGCACTCACCACACTTAAGGATACAGTTTTACCATCAAAATGGTTTTATCACTCATGAAATCACTAAATAATCAATTATAAGTATTTTCTGTAAATAGATGGAATAAAAAGAACAAACAAACAAACAAGCAAGCAAACAAGCAAAGGAATAGACATTTAAAACATTTATATATATATTTGTATGTATATGTGCGTGTCAAGCGATAGACATAACAATACCTAGACAATAGGATTAATTAGGCATTTTCAATTTTCAATTTTTTCTTTGTAAATTTTTTTTTCATGTCGTCTGCGTGTAAGTCTTGTTAGATAATGATGTTAAGTAAATTTAGTTGTTTAAATCAATTTAGAATATGACTGCATACAGAAAAAAAACGAAAGAAAAAAAAAATTATTCAATTTTCAAGTGTTGTTGGGAAAACAATTAAAAAACAAACAATGAACGAGAATAATGAAAAATAAACAAAACTGCACCAGTTCAACTCGTTCGAAATTTGCATTTTTAGTTCGTTGAACTTTTTTTCTCCTTTCCACATAACATTCAGAGGTTCTTTAAGAAAATGAGGATTGAAGATTCCAAAATTGGTTTGATTTACCTGTGAAGAATGGTCAGGATTGGTCTAGATTTCCATCTTGAACTAGGCACTCACAATATGGTTCTAAAGCCAGTGAATCAATAAAACGATCCTCATCTCCCTATAAGCAGACTCATTGAATGGTATCAAAGCTAATGAAATATCACAAATACGAATCAAAGCTAGATAAATCATGTAACGATTCAGTGCTCGATGAATCATATTTTGATTTCAAGGTGGAAATCCAATTCATTTCAACTCCCTGATGAACGCAGTGGCGCATTTAGATTTAGACACACATTTTTAAGCGCATTGAAAAAGTTTTCAAACTGATTTAAAACGAAAAACTGCAATCTGAATTGAGCTAAGATGTTCTCGGAGCGAGAACTGGTTTGCAATTTGTTCAAATGGAAAATTTGAATGAATTTGCTGAAATATGTATTTTCCAAACGAAAAAGAAACTTGTTCATATTTGAAATGTCTTGCAAAGAATTACCCTTAAATGAATATCTAATGTATTTAAAAGTCCAGTGGCAAATACTTATTTAAAAGAAAGAATACTAATGTTCATGTTCAGTGCAAATGAACATTGAACCATTTCTCTTTCTCTCTCTCTCTCTCTCATTATTTATAATTTTTGGCAAATTGTTGGACACACATCAATTGCATCGGTATTCAATTACCGATTTCCTGAAGAAAATCAAAAAACACAAAGATTAGCTTGTGAAAAAAATGAACAACAACAAACAATGTCGACCGATCAATATGAAAACGAAAACAAATTTTTAGTTTGATAGCATAATAAATTAAGGAATCGACAAGATTTAGCATTAGATAGGCAAACAAATTTGTTATTAAAAAAAAAATTATTCCTATTAATCTATTTCGAAACTAAATAATTTAAACTATTCTATTTTAGAGCTCTTCAAATTTTGTGTCAAATATGGGATTTGTTTAAAAAAAAAAGAAGAGAAGAATGAAACCGCAGTGTGTATATGGGCTCTGAAATCGTTTCTATTTTCATCAATTTCACATACACTGAATACAAATAATATAAGTACGTGAATGAACCATTTCCCAACATGAGAATGAATATCGAACAAATTCCATAGAGAAGAAAGACGGAAAATTCGCACAATTTTTTTTAAAATCAAAAGCCATAGTTATTTAAAACACAAATAAACACACAAAATTAGCCTATACCAGTGATGAAATAAAAAGACAACCTATAAATCTTATAAAATGTAATCAATAAAGAAAATCCGCATCGGTAATTCTTTGCCAGTATTTGAAATGTCAAATGTTGCAAAGAATGATCTGTATCGGACACACATACACCACACACACACACACAACTAAATCATTCGAATTGAAACCGATCGTTTTGTTCAATCAAACATTTTATTATCAACAGGTCAACATACGCATTTATAACGCCAGAGTGTCTTCTTTCTTCAAACACTTTGAGAAGCTGACGATTTCGTCTCATTTCGTAACGGCTTCGTTGCTGTTTATTGTAACTTTGCATTCGGATCATTTTCATTCCGTATAAACTTGCCAACAGGTGGAATATGGAAAGAAAAGTGCTTGTTAACCAGAGAATGCCAAGAAGATGAAAAAAAACGCGTGCAAAATGACGGATTCATTCATTTGCTTTCGTTATGAAATTCAATGGTTTCATTTTATCTGTGCTCCGTAAACAAGATGAAATCCGATTTACAACATTTGTATGTCACAAATGAAGACTGGATGTTGATAATTGATCGATTTACCCACGTACCAAACCGGTGTGCCAGGAATAAGAATATATGATACAATTTTACACTTATTAGAACATTATATGCACATTTTGTACGCATTTATACTTTTACGATGATTATAAATATGATAACCTATTCGCTCCCCCCCCCCTCCTGAAATCTAATTCTAAACAATAATAATATGTACATATTCTGTTAGAAAGTAAACACTTTTTTCTTTCTCCAAAATCAATTGATGGAATATTAAAGCCTGTTCAAATGTTTCATTTTGTAAACGAAAAAAAAAAGAAGGAAAAACGATAAACTATCCTGTGAATATATGCTTAAATTGACTGGGAGTTGATTGAATATATCGATGAAATTTACATCAATTGTTGGTTTTTATTTTAAATGGCCTTATCAAAATTTGTATAGAAAGAAAGAAACATTTAGAACATAAACAGGTATTTAAATCGTAGACGATTTTGCTGACAACAACCCTATTTATTCAATAGATAATGAGTTTTTAAAATGATAATATGGAATAATAAAGACAAACGTTTTATATCTAAATTCACATCATAACACTTTTTTTATTCGAAATCTGTTTTTACACAACCAATTACAGCCAATTATCACTTACCGCCCACGCAATCACATGCATCAGCTATAGAATATCATCCGTGTTCATTAATACATTGATAACGTTTTTGATTCAAACAACTGTCGAAAAATGCTAGAACCAATTCGTCCAGCAAATGCAGTAGAACTCATTCAAAAGTTGTTAACTGCTTGAAAGTTTTGGTGGTTGCATTTGTAAACTTGCGACAAATTCCAATTAGATTTTTGAATGATTCTTTGGAATGGTCTCACCTCCGGTTTTACATAAATTTGGGCGAAAATGAGAAATATGTTTTAGTTGTATGTGTAAAATGAATCGACACCATTGTGAACGTGCTCTTCTATGATATTTGCAGCCTGAATGAGCACACGGTGTGATAAATACGCAGATCAGTTAAATATAAAAACACAAAAGCGATTAAAAACACTTTGTCTCATTTAATTTCAGTTTAAATCGTATAATAACAACGGAAGGTTATGGTTTAAACTGATCCAAAAAACTGGTCCGAACTGGTCCAAAATGATTGAAAACGTAATCATCAATTACATAATGCCATTCATTTTGTCTCTTCTAAATTGGCCGTTAGCATGGTCTTGTAACGTTCGGCATGAATTTCAAAGCGACGAAGTAACAACATTTCAATGCAATAAATTGCTTCTTTTAAACGGCTTTACATGTGAAGAAACTAAAGACATTCCAATGGATGTAAGAATAATGAATATAAGAGTGGGGGATAGACAATATGAAAGATGTCCAGAGAGTCGGCAAGCTAATATCCGCATCACGGGAACTAAATCAAACGATGACATCGATGAACTTCACAATCAACGAATGCTACTTACGTTCACGCACAAACGATATGGCACACAATATGACTCACATGAAGCGTATATCAAACTGAACAAAGCGATTTTAATTCGGCCCGAATACACGTATTCAATTGAAATTCAATTTCCATCCGTACCACGTATTCACAATTACTGTCGCTTAAACTCGGTTTCCCTAGTTGATCATAATGTTGTGGTTGAATTTGGAGGCACAAGAGGAGCCATCACTTCACTCAACGTAAGCCGCATCGATGAAGAAGAATTTCTTCATAAAGTAATTCAAAGTCCACGGATGTTGGTATTAGTATTAGTATTAGCATTAGCAATTGCCATTTGCATTCACATACTAAAAAACGCTGAAGACACAGATAGGACTCGTCATGGTTACATATATTAATTGGATTTAAGTTTGTTGCATTTTTCTTCCGTTATTTCGTTCTGAAAACGAAAAAAAACAACTCTTTCTTTCTTTCAATTTCTATTTCAATGTTCCAGTTATTTTTTAAAATTCGACAATCATATGAATGTCCGAGAATGAAAACGCAACTTCTATTCACAACACATATAAGTGAAACGAAAATAAAAAATTTATTGAAATGAAACAACACAATCGAATTTTTTCAAAGTGTAACAACAAAAAAGATTTTTTTAAAGTGTAACATCGGTATGTAGTAAGTGTAACAACATACCGATGTTACACTTTAAAAAAATCTTTTTTGTTGTTACACTTTGAAAAAATTCGATTGTGTTGTTTCATTTCAATAAATTTTTTATTTTCGTTTCACTTATATGTGTTGTGAATAGAAGTTGCGTTTTCATTCTCGGACATTCATATGTTCAAATTAATTTCTTTTTATTTTTAAATAATTTTCTTTATAACGCCATTCCAATAAAAACCGAACATCTTGCTATACATTTTTAAAATTTGATTTTTAATTTCCCCAGTATTTTTTGCAATGACGAATGAGGAACATGTAAAAATCGAAAATAAAATTTTGGTACACGTTGGAAAATACAATCTATTACAATCTATTACATTTACTTTGTACAATGTAAATTGTGGCATTTTTCTAGAAAAAAAAATTGATTTATCTAAACTGGTGATCACCAATTGGTCATCATTTCTCGGCCAATGTATTGTACGGTGGTAAACCTCTATAAACAATAGCTGATCGCATGCCAAATGTAATTTCGGTTTCGTTACGAAGATCGCATAGTATTGCCAACAAATTTGGATTTCGCTTTCCTTCCGATTTCAACAGGATTCGGCTAACGTGTTCCTTGGAGCGTGCATCTTTGCACACTTTAATTTTGGGATGTGTCATTTGTTTTGGTACGATCCATTGTGTGAGTATCCATATAGTGATGAGATCAACCCAAACGTCGGTGACAATGGTCTGTATGGAAGAAAGGTTAAAATGAAAAGATGTGAAAAATGAACGAAATATGAAAACAACCAGGGTTAGATAACCAGGATATAGGTTATACAACGTTTAAACAAGGTCAACTTACGATTGCACCCAAAGTTCCTGGGCAGCCATTTTTAAAATATGTATAAGATGAGCAAGCCGCTTCCGATATCGTTCCAGATGGTTTTGTCGCAATTGAATCGCAGCCAAACAAGAGCATCAAACAATTATGTCGCATACTTTCCAGCTCGAAATTGCTGAAAAAGTTCAATGAACTTCCATGACCTGAATACACAAATAACTCATTTTTCGACAGACATTCGGATATTTTCTCTGCTGATGGTACGATACGTTCGATACGTTCCCAATTTGGTAAGCAATTATCGTAGAATTGGGTCATTCGTTTGCACATATCATTCAATTTGTCATCATTGTTCGGATTGATCATGCTGAAACCGTTTTTGATGCTCATTTTCAGGTAACCATCATCGATTTGATCTTTGTATCGTTCGTACAAATCGAATAGCAGATAAATGGAATGTACACGGGTAAATTCTTGCGATGTCAACACCATTTCCCACGGCATTTGGTCTAAAATTTCATCAATGACCAAGATGCATGGATAATATGTGAAATCCTTGAATGGAGTTTTCGCCTTCAGCTCCAACAAAAACTTTTCAATGCGACAACTGTCCTTATAACTTGGTGCAATATCACGAGCGGCTTGCTCAATTTTTCCATTGTCCAACAGATCGATTCGTCGGGCCATTAAACTAAGCAAAATAACTTGATCGGGAGTCATCCAGCCGAGTTCACCGGCAAATTTGTCTACATCCTCGAATATCTTCTGTTCAAAATCTTCACCAGCTTTGCCTTTGATTTTGCCAGACAGCAATGTTATCCATGGTCCAAGCCATGTTGCCATATCTGCTACTAGTTTCAATTGCGTTTGCTTCAGCCGCTTCATAAATTCACTGTATTTGGTTGGTAGCGTATTCATATAAGATAGGTAATTTTCGTACAGCACCTGATGCACCTCGTGGGCCGTTGACAGTATCTGTATGGAGGAGGAGGAGAAAGAGCAATTTTGTTAATTTTTCCCACGTTCAAAATTTCAATCTCAAAATTTTATCAATTCAATCTCATTCAATTCATAATTGAACCTAAATCGATCGTGAATTGAACATTTTCCTTGAATTTCTTGTCAACTTACGCTCTTTTCGCCGAGTTCAATGAAATCAAGAACGATGCTAATTGGACGATTGTCTCGTTTTTTTGACAAACTATCGCAGAACAGTGTGATTTTAATAGGTGCATCACTGGTGTACACATCTTTTGTTGTGGCAAATCCATTGTATCCGCTGTACACTTGATTAAATTGAACGACATTCCATTGTTTTGGCAACTGAGCACACTTCGAACGCAGTGCATCGAAGTGATTTTTATCTTTATCATGGGGTATCTTTTTTGGTTCACCAATCACAACATGACTCAAATACTCCGATAGGTAATCAATAAGTATATTTTTCGTCTCTCGTTGCAAATCGCTGGATCTCTGTAAGGGATGTTCAATTTTACTCGCATTTGGCCGATTGTCGCTGAAGAGAGGCTGTTGATCATTGTTCAACATTGTGCTAATAAATCCACAGCTCAGTGCCATGCTGTCATACAGAATTGCTTTATCGTAAACACCCGATCGATCTGCTTCCCATGCCATTCGTTGATAATCACTTCGAACAATTGACCATGGTTTCCAGCGCCATTCATGTTCATCGGCATTTTCGACGTTGCTATTTAATTCAGACGATTTATTTGTTTTAACGGCATCCATTGCCAAATTTTTCCAATGTTTCTTTTTCACAGTTCAATCACAATTGTTTTTCAATGCAACGATAATTGGAATTCGGTTTGACACCAGTTTGAATGATCCAGACGGCGCACCAAGCACATTAGTGACGTTTTAGTAAACAATGTTTCTGACACTTTCAACCGGAATTTTTTTTTAGTAGAAGAATTTATTGTTGTCCTTGTATTTCAGCCAAGTATCGATTGATAAACTGCAAAATATGAAATTTTTGATGATTAAATATCTGAAAATTCTGCATTTTTTCATTGTAGACAAAAATTGTAGTTTCTACCGAAAAAAAGTCGTTAAATTGATTTAACAAAAATTTATTTATACAAAGAATTGTACAAATTCACTCTATTTTCCTGAAAATTATTCGTTTCCTTTGGTATTTTTTCGTTTGAATCAATTGTACTTTGTGTAAGTTTTAACTTTAAATGTTTATAATGGATTGATGTGAATAAATTGCAAAAAGAAGTGTTCTATTGACGTAAACACAAGCATTCAAACTCATCCGTAACGTAAACGCACAACTGAATGCTCTGCTCTGCACTGCTATGCTTCGTGTTAACGAGACATAGTTGTGTCAAATCGGTCGAGCATAACCTCAACCAATCCACTGCATTGTTATGTACTAAAAACTGTGTGTGTGCGTATATAAACATCTTTGGTGTATTTCATTTCCCATTTTGAGACAGAATGTTTTTTGAGTAGAAATGCAACCAATTTAGTGTTTTGTTTTATGGATTTTTGTTTGAACATTGATTAAATAGAGACGATTGAACAAATTTTACCGTAAAATTTTCACATAGACAAGAGTGAAAAAAAAGAAGAAGAAGAACAACAAAAGACCCAACCAAAAATACCATGAATGAGAGTTCAAGTTCACCAATTGAATATGGAAGTGAAACAGAGCTGCTGGCCGATTTTAAGCGATACATGAATGAACCGTCCAATTTGGAACGTGCAACAAATTATCTATACAATTCATTGGTGGATGAAACAATAATGGGTGTTGTCTTTGAATTACATTATTTACATAAAACTGGTCTCGATGTTGCACTCGAAGGTGAACCAGAAGATCCATCCGTGTATGTGCTTTATACTTACAAATATTTTCTTTTTCTATGGATTTATTTTCGATGAAACGTTCCACAGAATAATCTAAAATCGGTTTTCTTTTATTTCTTCAAATTCAGATTTAGCATTGTGGATATGCCTGATATGGATGTGTTTGGTTCAACAAATACAAAGAAGGCTGTGGATTGTACGTGCCCAAATTGTGATCGGCCTGTTGCATCGTCTCGATTTGCACCGCATCTGGAAAAGTGCATGGGTATGAAAGTGAATTCAATACGATTTTGTGGGCGCTAATATTTTGGCATGCTTCATATAAGAAGGTTCTTACGGAACTCCAAATTTTTTTCTTTCAGGCATTGGTCGAAATTCATCAAGAATTGCAAGTCGACGAATCGCCAATTCACGCGATGGCAACAATTATTTTGGCAATAATGTTAGCGATGATGAAGACGACGCCGATTGGTCTAGTGATAAAAAGAAGAAGAAAATTCAATCGATGCGAACGAATGGATCCAAAAAGAATGGAAAATAAATGGGAAAACAATGACACAACAAATCAAAACTGAATTACAATTTTTCATTCGTTCGACTGACATCAACACCACATTTTCAAGCTGTGTACATTTAATGGGGCAGGAAGGGGGCTGACAAAGGCAAAATTATCTATATATTATCACACATAAAATTGATCAACTGCGGAAATATTTGTTTTAGTTATTCGATAAGTAGAAGTTGTAGGATATTTTAATGAAATATATGTATACATAAACGATACTAAATTTGAATTGAAATTCCGTTGAATATCATTTCTTACTATTTTTCCCTCAAGTACACATATACTTTGTTCAATAACAATGCCACTCCGAATCTTCGGTTCGAAAATCATTTTTAAAAGACGGACACTTTAGAATAGTCAACTTGAAAATGTACAATGTTACAATGTACGTGCCCAAATTGTGATCGGCCTGTTGCATCGTCTCGATTTGCACCGCATCTTTGTACATTGAACATGAGAATTCTGAAACCACTGCGTTGTTGCATTTCACGAATAAATTCATTCTGACTTGGAATTTTAGATAAACTTTACAATTGAAATAAATTGTAAATCTATATAACATATCTATGACGATATGCGCCCCATGGAATGATTAACCGTTACGATCCAATGTGGTCCTTCCCGAGTAGCAAAAATCTCAGGCTTGCAACCAAAATTTGTTATAAATCGGTTTCAATTCAGTTATTCGCAACAAAATATGTTATAGAACAGTTGCAATGTGGTTTTTAGGTAACAAGGCATCCGCTTTGTTATATATAAGTTATAGAAAAGTTATTTTTAAGTTGCAGAAAAGGAGAAATATTTTAACAAATTTACCAACTGGTTGCCAGATAACTCATAATCTCAAAACTTTATTGTAACGTTGCTGCAACTACGATTTGGTTACATACGTAACCATGATACGTCAGTGCATTTCACCTTGTCAAACATTCATACATTTGGTCCAAGAATGCAATTCCTGTTGAAGAATTTGCCAAGCTAATGAGTTTCGAAAACGTTGAGAACGTTAAACGTTTCGCGTTGGTGGATTTCATCCAATCGAAAACCAATCATTACGATAAAAACAGAGAAATCACAAAAAAAAACAACTTGTGTTGAAACTACTTCATTACTATCTTTCTTGTTACAATAACGTAATTCAAGTTATAATTAAGTTACATTCATGTTATATAGAGGTTACAGTAAGGTTACTTCAACTAAACATATTGAATGTAGATATGTTGTATAAAGAAATAGAATTTGGCTGTCATTAGAATTCTTTCCGTAAGGAATACATCGCCTAATCAAAATTCTGTGGCAATAATTTTGAAAACGCAAAATAGAATTTTATTTGTTACTCTTACGTTTATACAACATTTCAAAAACTGAAATGCAACTTGAATAACACAAGTTGTAAATATGTTGCCGAAATGTTTTTGCAACGTGTTTTTATATGATGAAAGTCTAGATGGAAGCTAAGAAGTTCCTGCAACATTACTACAATGTAGCAGTATTGTTACAACAATTCCAAGGTTCTATTTGAGTTACATTTGAGTTTTAGTAACAATGGCAGTAAAAATCGCCATATTTACTGCTGTTTGAAATTTTTTGCACATTGATGCGTTTGTTCTTTCGAAAATAAAATCGAATTTATCATATATTTATGCATTTTCAACATTGCGTTTTAGCTAATTATTATAATTTTGACATTATAAATCGTATTTGAAATGGTTTGAGATAGTTAAACGAGAAAATTACAAAAATTGAAAAAAAAAATATTTTGCACATTTTTTCTCAAAATTGCATCTTTTGAAGGGCGCGTGAATTTTAAGAGCCTATCGTGGCCACTATTGACGACAAAATGACATTCGTTGTAAAATTTCGATTTTGAAAATGTTCAAAATCGGCAAAATATTTTCATTCTCACACATATATATATATAAATTGCCCAGCGATTAAATATTTTTCTAGTTGAATTTGTCAAAGATAGAGATAAATGATGATGCCGTTGAAAGGAATGAATTGAAGAATGAACATTCAAATTGAAACTCGATAGTAACTTTATTGAAACTTTCTTTGGTTATATGACAGTATGCGATTTATGAGCATGGCTATTGCAACGATATAATAACATAACTAAAATCGAATTATAACCGAATTATAACCAATTTGTTACAAATAAGCCCCGCCTCGCGGCTAAACAGCTTACAATACGGTTATTGTAACGTTACAAAGATCGGCTTGCAACATCTTTGGAGTTGTTTTTAAGTTATAGTAACCCATTTGCAACCGGGAAAAAGGGGAAATTTGCTACTCGGGCTTTCATCACTGGATTTATCCTGGTATGTCAATGCCAGTCATAGCCTTGTGTACTAATTCGCATAATTTCATGGAACATTTTGAACAGTTGATTGCTTCTCGAAAAAAAATATGAACATTTCGTTGCTTACATGAATGCATCCAAGCAAACAATGGCAGCGAAAACTTGGGAGAAGTAACGGACGATCAAATGGATTTTAAATTATTATTTTTTCCCTGATGGACATTATTCAATGGTTCGCCGTTATTTCAATTAAAAACCACTCAAGATGTTATTAACCCAATCTAAGCGATGGTTCCATATGGAACCGTTTTTAAATATGTTCTGCAAGAACACGTAAATTGGTCAATTTTTATTTCGTTCCTCGTCTAATGACGTTTTTATGACAGAGAAAAGTTTAATCTATCATAAAATATATAATTTATACCATTTGGTTCGGCACAATATGAAATAGGGCATTTTGCATTTCGGCAAAGAAAATTTAGGGGGTCAACACATGGGAATGAATCGGAGAATTTTCAAACAACTCGATTATTATTTTATTTCGGAATGAAGTTTTAAAGCCAAGCATGTACAGTTACATATTTTTTGATCTCAAAATTAACATTGACAACAAAAAACATGAAAAAAAACAATCTTTCCATGGTTTTTCTTGTATTTGTATTGAAAAAATACGTCGTGACGAAATCAAGGTTTTCCACGGAAAGTCTTATGAATTTTCAATCGGTCGCACTATAATCCAAAAGTATGCATGCTCACCTTTATCAAAGACTTAAAATTGAATCGATTTATTTTTTATTTTGTTTGCATTTAAGCCAAATTTTTAGAACTTTGCAGGAAAAAATTGAAAAAAGAGATCACGGCTTTGAATGGGTTAATGTTGTAAACAAATTGCTTACACATACTTTTATGAACTGTATTCTTTCCGCGCTCTTTTATGAAAAATTTGCATTTCTTCCATTGAATTAATGCAATTATTATAATTCGATTATGGTTCATCATTATCTGCAATATAACATATTTTTATCAATTCTACGAAGATATTTCAATCAAAAACCATTTATGTAGATTTAACGTATACGTTCGTTATAAAATAGATATTGTGATAATAGATACAAATGGACACAAGTTTTGTAGCCATTAACGAGTGCATCAGTTTTGAACACAATTTGTCTGCGACCAATTAAACGGATGCTTTTTCCAAACAGTATAATAACACTGCAGGAACATGTGTAATATATAGATTTTCCCTTCAGTTTTACCAGCTTATTACTCAGCACCTCTTACCTTACCAGATCGGCATACCGGGATAAATTTCCGAGTGAATATTTCTAGACGATATTTTCGATCACGTTTTCATCCTAAACAATTTATTTTGCAAATATTTCAATACCTGACTTGAAATGAAGCCAATGATTCAAAATTTTTATTGTCTAATGTTTCAATAAGGAAAATGAGATTTATTTGTATATTTTTCGTTTGTATAATCGTATTTTAAAGTTAAATAAACTTAAACTATAAATAAATTTTTTGGGAAAATAATGACTTTGTTGAACGTTAATTTTTTGTTTTACTGAAGTTCACATCTTGAATATGAAGTGTTTTTCATCGAATTTGTCTCTATAAATAGGCATGCTTTTAAGTTTTTTTTTCAATATTCTTCATCAAAAGCTATAATAAATCCATTGAGACGTTTTCATCAACATAGTCGACTATGTTTAGAATGCTTTTTGAGCTTATTTTTTTGTTCAAACTTTCATCAAATTTGAGCTGTAGCCGTTGAATAAACCAAAATTATGGATATGTCCATTATCGATGCACAACAATAGAAATGTGTTTTGCTGGGAATTCTACCGTTGAAATCGTTGTAGTTTTTCTAAGCAGCTGGGTTGCTTGGTGGTTTGAAAACTGGACAGATTTGGTCGAAATGGTTGTTCAAGCCGCCTTGTGTGATTTCCTCATCGCAAAGAAAACACTTTGGTCCGTCAAGTTCAAAAATGAAATAGATGTTTGAGCCGATATAGCGATGACGTAATGCCACAGCCGAAGAACACCCGCTTGTGTAGCAAAAACCGCCACAGCTTTGGCCGCATTTGACCGCATCTTTGTTCCCAATCACTTTGTTGGTCAGCACTTGAATGTCTGAGGCCATTTTGTAGCTATCGTATGTTGGTATTTTTTGTGATATCTTGCTATCCTTGGCAATCGAAGCCAACATTTCTGTGACATCGGAATCGTTGTCGGCATCACGTTTGTGGTTGTTGTTGAGAATGAGATTGGTTTTGAATCGTCTATTGAAGTATTCAATCGCTGCAGCAAGCAAGTAGACGTCCAAGTCCGGATTTTCTTTTTTTTCGCCATAGTAGTCATTTATATCGATGTATAATTGAATCATTTCGTACTAAATTGTGAAAAAAAAAACGAATGCGAATTCAGGGAAAAATGGGTATTAGTTTCAAATCTAAACAAATTGAGTGTTGAATTCAAAATCGTGTCAACTTACCAAAATTGCTTCGACAAGCTGTTTGCGTGTGCGATGTTTGAACCAGAGTTTGCTGCACCGAATGAATATCTGCTTCGATGAGTATGACGTTTTTTCATAGGTGACGGCAGCACGGGATTTCAATTTGTCGCACCATTCCATTTTGATTCCATCCAAGTTGCAATTGAATATTTTCTGGTCGATCGCATCAAAAATCGATTGTAACATTCCATCCGAACTAACGAACGATGGAAGCGGCACTGGATTTGCCACACGATCACCACCATGTTCTGCACCCGATGCCATTTGACCACGATTTTTCTACAGGAATAAAATATTTCTTCTAAAAATGCAATACATTCAGATTGAATGTCAATTTCACCTTGTTGTTTCTTCCTTTTGTACGCACAGTCAGTGATAATTCCGCTCCGGCTTCTAAAAGTTGACGCACAGATATAATACCATTTATTTCCGAATCCATATTGTCAACACTTTGTGCAATGTGAATTGCGTTTTGATTTACTAATGTCAAACTGGAGCTAATCAATGTGCACCAACGAAAGAGCCAACTTAGAATAAACTCAGTTTTCAAATGAATAGCTATTCAATGCGCTATGATATTACGCCGTGCCGAATTGCTGTATTTTATACGCGAATTTTAGTTGAAAGAATCACCGTCGGATGGCCAAAGTATGAATATCGTAAAATGACATGATTGGTGACAGATTTATTCAATTATCACTTGCAAGCAACAACAATGACAAAGCGCCAAAAACTGTTCATTTTGATTTTTTTAATTTGATTGGAAAATGAATTTTCCTAAGAAAGTAAATGAACCGTATTGAAAAATACCACTGAAATCGAACAGCAAAGGAAATTTGATTGAAATTCGAATGAAAATGACCCACCCTGTTGAGAAATTCTTAATAAGAATAGATCACCACGATACATTTCGGTCGTGACCAATAGGCGGTAGTTAAGTTGTTAAGTCATGACGCACCATATACGTGCATATCTAGTATAAAAGGACTTTGTATAAACAGAGTGAGAACTGTTACAGTTCAACTGTATCAATAAATCAGTTGTCTTTGGACACTTCAACACATCCAGTCGACGAATCAAATTCAAATTAAAATAACAATTACAATCTGGGGCCCGTTGCACAGTACTAGTACTGTTACAATTTTTGTAAATTGTAATTGTAATTGTAAATACAATTCGTTGTAAAATTGGTTTTTCAATAATGAATGTGACGGTCAAAAAGAAAAAGCGATTGATATCAAAGCGATTGATATATCTATTGACTAGATCGAGAGGAGAGTATGTGAAAAAATTCTAATATATTTTGAAAGAGGAGAGTATGATTTCTGTTGATTCTATCTGCGTTAAAAGGAAGTATGTTGGCATCCCGTCTAGCCTCCGCGGTTTTTCACGGTTTCCGCGAAACTGATAAAAGATAACAACATGGTGTCTTCGGCAAAGTTGTAGTACTTGAGGTTTTCTTTAACATTGCTGAAGATATCTATCTCTTATCTCTTATCAGTTGCGCGCAACTCGCGCACATAAAAAAGCAAATTGTATATAGAACTTTTTTTTCTTATCATTTTTCGCGCTTTTCGCGGAGCTAATAAGAGATAAGAGATAACTGACTTCAGCAATGTTATAGAAGACCTCGAGTGCTACAACTTTTCCGAAAACACCAAGTTGTTATCTCTTATCAGTTCCGCGGAAACCGTGGAAAACCGCGAGGACCCGCCAAAAATGAACATACTCGCCTTTAACCATTTTT